CTATGGATGGCATCAAGATTTTAATTCTTGATTCAGATAAAAACCCAACAAACAAGACGACTAATGTGGTCTACAGAGAAATATTTCAAAACATCATGTGAAGCTTATTGGTGATTAAATGTTTCTTTATAAGGTAAAAAAAGATTTTTGTTGTTCTTTTTTGTTAATTTTGTTGGTACTTTCATATTACTCTTATATATCCTTTTTTATGTTTTAAAAAATTATTTTCATTAATTTTATGTCAAAACATCTATGCTCAAATTTTGTGTGCATTGTTATGACAAAATTATTCATAATTCACAACCCGTGCAACGCACGGGAGAGTTTTCTAGTTAAAAAATAACCATATGAATAGTACCACTTGCGTGAATTTTGGGACTAATTGGTAAAGTCTAAATACCAATGAGTATTTTTTCTCTAAAGATCATATTAAAAGCTTTAAATAGAACTCGGAACCACCTTATTTTGATTTTTTTAAATTAGTTATGATTTTTCAATGTTTGGTCTTGATCAGGATTATAATGAATAGTAACCCAAGTATGGAATTTTTAAGTTCGAATGTTTCTAACTTAAGGCAGAATGATTCCAAATAGTTCCAATTGAGATAAAATATAGTCTAAAAGTAAGATGTGACACTCTTGATTTCTTTCTTGTTTGTTTTTTAATGGCTCAAGCAGATGTCCAATCCTATAATATAAGTTCATACAAAGATGAGTCAATACTTAGTCTATTTACATATTATGATTAAAATATAATCTCTTTTGACACTACTCATGAACTCTGCCCTTTTTATTTACTAGTTGCTCATCCTTAACAAAGTTTTTTTAAATATTTATATTACATATTTTAGGATATTTGAAATGTCTTCCTTTTTCTCATAAGTCACATTCTCTCACTTAGTAGCTTATCATCGTGGTTAAAAATTATTCTCAGCTATGGCTTTTAAGAATATTTGGGGTGTCCTTTCCTTACAAATCCTCACAATATTATTTTCTACATTCTTTGAGAACATTAAACTAAATCATAAAACTCTAACCTCGATCCTGTGTAGTTTATAAGTTCCACTTTCAAGTTTAGTAGACACCCTTTCCATAAATCATCTAAACCATGCAATTTAATTTCTAAAGTAATTGAGAATATTACCTTTAGGAAACCCTTTTCTGTCTTCTTAACTCATTGGAGCACTTAATTTCAATAAAATTAAACCCTTCCTTGTCAAAATAGTGGCTAGCCAAAACAGGGGATAGGAGGAAGTTTATAAAATTGGATCCTCATATATAGCCAATCACTTAAAAGAAGCCACTAGAAACTTGTGTGTGCAGTTCATCATCTTAGGATAATCAATCCCATAGTATAATACTTTAAAACAGCAGCTATTTTATATCCTTAGCGCTTCGAAAGCTTCATTCATCAAGCATCACAACAATTCTAACATACAACTTCATTAGCACATAAGGCTTCTCGCCTCCTTAAAAATTCCGAACAGCATCTCTCATCAAATCTGAAATTGTCCAGCTCCAAAAATATTATCCTCACCATCATATTCAGGCACTTAGATACATTCTAATAATTCAAAATATTTATTTAACGATTCAAAGCATCAAACAATGGAGCAACACAGTTCCATTTATAAGTTTCAACTCCCAAGTTAAAAAAAAGGAACAACAACCACATCACAACCCATCTTCATAACCTATTTGCCTTAGCACATTAAAACTCTTTTTGACAAGTACCATAAGAAAAGTCAGACATGCTCCCCGAAAACAAAATTCCAGATTCGAAAAAAAAAAAAATACTCCAACAATTCAAACGGCACTCGATATTGACATTCAACCACATGCATCGCTTCATATAATCTCTACAAGCTTAAACTTATCTCTAGCTATGCTTTCTTTGCTTACACCTTCATTGTCTCTCCCTAAACCAGATTTTTAATCATCATCATCTTAAAAACTATGCACAGACGGAAAAATGAAGATGGATTAGTGTTTAGGACCCTTACCTCAATCTAAATTCGGACAAAGAGTCTCTTCACTTCTCTTCTTTTCTATTTCTATTCACTTCTTATCTTAACCACTAAAATTAAAAGTTTAACGGTTCAGATTTCATGTTTTTAAAAATAATTTTATAAAGTATTTTTTATTATTGTTTTGAATTATACGGACTAAAATTTAGTAGTTTTATTTAATTTTATTTATTTGTTTTTCAAAATTTAACATTTTATTCATAAATTTATAAATATGAAATCCGTTTAAATTTCAATCCTATGGCTGGGAAGAGAAATGAATGAAAATGGAGAAAAAAGAAAGTGGAGAGAACCTTCTAAATTCAAGGTTGCATGTGAAAGATGGTGCCTCCATCAAGCTCTTATTCCTCTTATTTTCTCCTCTCCCTCTCCCTCTCTCTCTCTCTCGAAGGTTCAGATCCAAAATGGGGGTGAGGGAGTGCTCAGATGGAAATAAAAGGGTGAGGGTGCCACGTGAGAATTGTGTGAGGTGGCCTTTATGCCCTTCTATGTTTTGCTTATTTTCTTTTCGTCCTTTTTCTACTTTCTGAAGTTCTAAGATAAATTCGTAAATTAATGAACAATTTTTATATGAATTTTTCTTATCCATTAGCTTTTTTGGCTCATAAAATAACTCCTCTTGAAATTTTGGGCCAAAAATTAACTCTGCTTTTTTAAAAAAATTTTTCCAAAAACAGTACTTAATTTCATAAATTAATCATTAACTCATTTTAAGGATTTTTTTGCCTCAATTAGCTTCCTTAACTCATATACTAATTATGCTAAAAATTTTATCTCAAGTATAAACCTCTAACTATTTTTCTTGAATTTCTAAGAAAACAGGGCTTTTTTGCTCTAAAAATTAACCTTAAAATTATTTAAGCCATCTTTGGAGAAATTAACCCTTCCATAATATTCTAAATTCTCAAAATTAATATAAATTTTTATTTTTTTCTTAGGGATTAAATAATTTTTAATAATTATTTCTCTTTTAAATTCTCATTCGAGATAAGCTTTTTGGCTATTAAAAATATTTTTAAAGCTCTAGTTCTTAAAATAACTCTTTGGAACCTCATAATCACTTAATAACCTATTTTTTAGAGCCCTAAATTCAGGATGTTACATAATCCACTTAGGGCACAAGAAAAACATGGAGACTAGAGAAGAAGAGTATGGGTTTATTCTATTAATCCAAACAATTTTTATTTTTGTAAAAGAGGGCATTTTTTGTTTTTTGTTTAAGTTTTTTTCATTTTGGGCTCAACCGTCCAGCTTTTATAAAGCCGCTCCGAGTCCTGACCAACCCGTGATTTCCGGACCAATAATAGTTGAACGGCGGCTCAAAACGACCTAATTGATGGAATGGGTAGATACTTATAACTAAGCCGCTACTTGGACTGGCCAACAGTCCAACCAATTAGAAGTCCGATAGGGTCTGGTTCTCAAAACATTGCCTTGATGAGATTAGACTTGCAAGTGAATCAAGTTTGTGGGTACACAATTTTAAGAAAATTTACTAGTGAAATTCATTCCAGCGTATGACCATGAAAATTTTTCAAGCTATAGTAAGTTAATTTGCTTTTCCAAGATTGTATATATCTGCTCTTCAACCTATTTTTTAGATTATTGTGTTCATCCATCTTTGTCTTATTTATCCTTGTTCTGATGAATATATTACGTTTATTGATGATGCTAACTACATTGACAGAAAGAAGTGGGTTTATTGACGGTGTGAAGCTTATTCCTGTTGGTGCCACCCAGTGACATGTTTTCATCCTTTTTGTTTTCTATTTTACAATCTTTAGAATTCCTTATTTACAATGGTTTAGATCTTATGAGCTCCTTGTAATTGATTTTATTACAGTGGACACCTATTTTGCATCATATTGTCGTGATAAACATGAGAAGGCTCAAGTATGTCCTGCATGGTGTTTTGCAGGCCAGCCAGTGACGTGTTTTCATCTTTTCTGCTAGTTTTTTTTTTTTTCCTGTCTTAAAGTACTTAAGATGTCTTTTCTTGCACTTTCTTATGTTTGAATTATTTGCTTTACAGGTTTATGAGGAAGTTACAGATCCTAGTGTTGATATTTTTCATAAGGAAAAGGTCTTTATTGAAACAATTTTAGAGCCTTTACTTCAAAGACTTTCACAGTTGAAGGTTGTAATGGAACATATTACTACTGTGGATGCTGTTAAATTTCTAGAATCTTGTAATGAAGGCATGTCTAATCATGTGGTTGACTAAGCTTCATTTTTATGTTATTATTTCGTTTTTTCCTTAATTTTCTCATGATTTGCTTTATTTGTCAGGTTATGTCGCTACAACCGGCACACAACAGCATCTTCTTTTGAACCGCAATGCTCTAGTCCAAGGTGGCTTGCAGCCCCACAATTATTGTTTTCCACTCCTCAAAAAGGAAATCCACAATGAGCTTCCGCCCGAATGCGCCCCAATAATTTCAACTTCCAACATCTTTTAGGTGTTACACCACTAGACTTCATTAAAAGCTTGAAACAAACGATTTAAAAGGCATGAATGCATACTTGTAACATGAATGCAGCTCTCTTCCATTAGGTTTTAAAATATTCTTATTGCTGGTCTCATCTGCTGATATTCTTTCGTTGAGCTTGTCGTTGTTACTTTTGTTTTGCAAGATAGGCCATTGTTTTTGCTATTTTTCCTTAGAACTGATAGCACTCTTCATAGAAGAGGTAAAAAAGAATGTAGTTGTGGATGTGCTAGCATATATAACTCCCCTGTCACTCTCACTCTATGCAGAGGTTTTTGAAGAAGTGACAGCTTGATATATGTTAGATTTTACATTCTATTAGGTACAAATCTTCTATTTGCATATAAGTATTTTGTTGGGTCTAAAGAGCAGGGGAAGAGGGTGAGTTCTGGTGATGAACGAGCATTTCCTCAAATGCCAGTGCAACAGCCTTAGACCCAACCCTGATAATTAGCCAGGTTTAAACATTACACCCACCTATCATATGGTCAACAAAACTGCAAATATGCTAGATTTCATACTGCAAATATGCTAGATTTCATAGTAATTAATTAATGACCTGTTTAGTAATGGATAATAAAAAAATTTTAAGAAAAAAGAAAAAACGAAGCCGCAGCATGCAGAGCTAATAATACACAATTGAAGACTAAACTATCAATGTTTGGCTCTCCAATTTGTTAGACTTCTCCAGTATGATTAGTAGTCGGCAGAAAGACGCTGAACTTTTAAAGGAAGTGACATGAATCAAGTAAGGATTGCCTCCCATTCAAGCGTTTCACCCGCAAACATGGGCACAATGTCTCCGAATGGAAAGGAAAAAGACTCTGGCACCTTCCATCGAGTCTTCCTCAGTTTAATCTTTGTGCTGTTTCTTGGAAGGCCGTAGAAATCTGGTCCATTAAAGCTTGTGAAGGCCTCCAGCTTGTCCAGTGCACCAGCCTTAAACATGAAAACAATTTACAAAGAATCACGCAAAGCACAAGCCTCTTCTTCTAGCTAGTTGCATCACACATATAAGCAGTTAGATGCTTGTGACTATGTCACTGAGGAATCACTGGATATTTGCTTTAAAAGATTGAAGAAATAATTATGTTGCTGACATTAAGGAAAATAATATGCTTTAGTCCAGAGGGGATAAAGAAATAGATAAAGGAAGAAGGATGCAACAGATGTTGGAATTCGTATGTAGAAAGATCACTTTTCAAACCCTTTTGCATTGATGCAATCAAATGCTATTCATGAATCGACACACTGAAATTTAACCAAATACTCACTTATCACCGAAACTCATCCCCTTCCCTTACTCCTTAGACCCAACAAAATGCTCATATGCAAATAGAAGATTTATACCCAAAAGAACGTAAAATCTAACATATGATCAAGGTGTTACCTCTTCAAAAACCTTTGCATAGAGTGATAGAGCGACAGGGGAGTTGTATATGCCAGCACATCCACAACTACATTCTTTTTTATATCTTTCATGAGGAGCGCTATCAGTTCCAAGGAAAAATCTTTTACTTCCACTAGTAACAGCAGAAACAATAGCTTGTCCTGTGAAACAAAAGTAACAAGAAAAAATATATATAATTATGTGAAGAAAAAAAATCAGCAAATCATGACTGGAAGTAAGACATATTTCAAAGCTTAATGGAAGAAACCTGCATTCATATTATAAGTAGATCATAACATTCATGCCCTTTAAATTGTTTGTTTCAAGTTTTTAATGAAGTCTGGTATAACACCTGAAACATGTTCAATCTTCAATGGTGAAATTATTAGGACTTATATGACAGAAAAAAACATACTGTGGATTTCTCTTTTCAGCACTGGAAGACAGTAATTGTGGGGCCGCAAGCCACCTTGGAATAGAGCATTGCGGTTTAAAAGAAGATGCTGTGGTGTAACAGTTGCAGCTACATAACCTGACAAATAAAGCAAATAATGAAAAAACGAAATAATAACACAAAAATAAAGCTCAGTCAACCACATGATTAGACATGCCTTCATTGCAAGATTCTACAAATTTAACAGCATCCACGGTAGTAATATGTTCCATTACAACCTTCAACTGCGGAAGCCTTTGAAGTAAAGGCTCTAAAATTGTTTCAATAAAGACCTTTTCCTTATCAAAAATATCAACACTAGGATCTGTAACCTCCCCATGAACCTGTAAAGCAAATAATTCAAACATAAGAAAGTGCAAGAAAAGACATCTTAAGTACTTTAAGACAGGGAAAAACAACTAGCAGAAAAGATGAAAGCACGTCACTGGGCGGCCTGCAAAACACTATGCAGGACATACTTAAGCCTTCTCGTGTTTACCACCACAATATGATGCAAAATAGGCGTCCATTGTAATAAAATCAATTACAAGGCCCACAAGATTTAAACCATTGTAAATAAGGAATTCTAAATATTGTAAAAGAGAAAACAAAAAACATTCTTATATATAACCACGTATAAATCAGGTTCATCCAGTTAAAAAGGGAAGGAAACAATGGATAAAAACAAGAGTGACACTTTTTCATTTTGATAAAAGAAGACAAATAAGAAAGTCACATAACATCATATAACTACCAATAATGGTATATTCTGCTGAACCATCTCCTCTAGAGCAGGAAAACATTTCCCAAAAAGATCAGTAACACCGTCTTGGGAGTTTGTGGTGGCACCAGCAGGATAAAGCTTCACACCATAAATAAGTCCGCTTCTTTCTGTCAATGCAGTTAGCATCATCAAATAAAGATAATATATTTATTAGAAAAAAGATAAACAAAGACAAAGATGGATGAACACAATAATCTAAACAACAGGACGAAGAGCAGATATATACAATCTTGAAAATGCAAAATAACTTACTACAACTTGAAAACTTTTCTTGGTCACACACTGGAATAAATTTTACGGGTAAATTTCTTTAAATTGCATACACACAAAATTGACTCACTTGCAAGTTTAATCTCATCAGGGCTTGTCATGTCTGTTAGGTAAAGAGTCATTAGTGGAGTGAAGTTACTATCTCTAGGCAGTGCTTTCAAGATGGACTCTTGATAAGCCACAGCAGCAGCCGTGGTTGTAATAGGTGGCCTCAAATTTGGCATAATTATTGCCCTTCCAAAATGCTTTGCACTGTAATGAAGCATTAGTCATTAATCAGGATTCAAAAATCATTTCATTTGTAGGAATATTAAAGACACTAGAAGAAACCATTCCTCCCGTGCATTCCCTAAAATTTGAGACTGTATTTGGGCTGACTACAGGCCTTTCCGTTATTAAGTGAATTTACCTAGAAGAGATGACAGCTTTGAGAAAGTCGCCATCACGAAGGTGAAGATGCCAGTCATCAGGTTGTGTGATAGTAAGCTCCATCTTTGGTCCTTTAGATAGTAGGTGCTTATGCACTTCAAATTTTTTAGATGAAAAATTTAATACCTATAAATGAAGATAACAAAATAAGTACCAGTAGAATCATAAAAAAAGAGATAATTCATGCATAAGGCTAGGAAGCACATGAAAACAAAGCTTGATTTAAGTGGGGAAAGAAAACAAAGTTAGATTGCAGAAACAATTTAAAGTGTAGTAGTGGCTGTCCTTTAAGGATAAAAGAGTACAGCTACACTTATTAGAGTTTATATACGACCATCAGCCAAGTATTGAAGACATTAGAAGGTAAGAATACAGCAGGATATGTCACCCTTTTTTCAAGACTTGTTTTGCCATAGAAATCTAGTAAAGGACGAATATGTCATTGTTTAAAAATTCATGAAATAAGTTTGAACATTTACTAGTAAAAACAACTTCACAAATAAATTTAAAAAAATTGAGAATCACTTGGTAAGGAAGGGACAAAGTCTTCATCGTTCTTAATGCCGCATAGCCATTACAAGCATCTCAAAGCTGGCAGAACTACCTGTTAGAAAGAAATTATAAGATGAAAGGAAATAAGGAAATCAGTTTACTTTAGCAACCCCAATTATTGCAAAATCCAACTCTAAAAAAAATTCAATCCTAGTAAAACAGTCATGCAAGATATAAAATTTACAGAACACTCATTTATATCATATCCAGAATTGAACATTTAATTTTGTTAATAACTAGCATCGATGGATAACATTTTTAAACACACAAATATATATATGGAAAAAAAATTTTTTTTAAACACAAGTAAAATTTTACCCTCTCTAAAGGACGTTTAATTTTTAAACTTTCAACTACTCATTACAGCTTTCTTTCAATTTTATATCAGATATATGGAGATATGATATAGATTTATGACATTTTCTACGGACTAAGGGTGTTTGGATCTTCATTTCTAAAAACGGAGGCGGAATAAATCAAATTTCCCCCATGCAGAGTGAGAGAAGTCAAACAATCTTCTCTATGACTACAGTGCAGGACAAAATACTACACACCCAAATATATGAACCGGTTTGGATTGAAGATCCAAAATCCTTATCAGAATCAAGAACTCCAAGCAACAAGAAAAAACTAATAAGAAGATGAAACCAGAGTCGATAGACAAATCAGAAAGAATGTAGCAAGGATAGTTTTGATCATTGATGATCACAAATCCTTTAATTTGCTTTCATCCTCTTTGCCGCCATCTAAATCATTTCCTTATTCGTTGAACGCAATAAAGTCATAACAAATTGAAACGAAGAGAGAGGATAAATTCAAAGAGAACCTTGTGCAAAACAGCAATGCAACTAAACAGCTTAAGGAGGCGAGAGAATGGCCTGCTGTAGAAAGGCAAGGGGTAGAAATAGGCCAAGCCCATATCAGGCAGCTTACGGCCTGGCCTATTTAGGGCCTAGTTTGGCCCAGCCTGTTTAACAAAGAGGCTAGGCTCGAGCCTTTTTAAAAGCCTCTTAACAAAAAGGTCAGACCTATTTTATCGAGACTGGACCTATAAGCCTGCAGGCCTGGCCTGTTTGAGTTTTTTTAATATATAAATTTGCATATATTATATGATTAAGTAATATTTTAATTTTAGTGTTAGATAGGTTATTACCTATTAACCTTAGGTCTTTTAACTCATTCATCATCACCTAATACTCACTGGTGAGTATAGTTGGCTTGATCATCTCTCGAGTGCCAATCTCTTGGTTTCCGTTTACGTTCTCCAATCTCGTCTCCAGCATTCTGATTTGTTCGCTTCCATTCTCGTTCCCCTCTCTCCACGAACTCATTTGTGCTATCATCTTCATAATTGTCTCAGTTTTCTTTTGTTTTTTTTGAATCAGGTTTTATTTCAGTTATGTATGTGTGTGTAATATGTGCTTTAAGTTTATTTAAAGCCTATTATTTATAAACAAGCAGGCTTTTAAGACTACAAAATCTTATATTTATGGAAGGCTTTAGTAGGCTCAAGGCTTAATTCATTCCTTCAAGTCCCGTTTGGTACGAAACATTAAAAATGAAGGGTAGGGATTGAAATTAGAATTGAGAAAATCTATTAAAAAAGTGCTTAACATGAGAGATTGCTTGTTACATGGGATTAGACAAACCTATGTATGTGGAAGTGGAGAATACCATGAGGAGAGATGGTATTCCCCAATCCCACTTCTATGGGTTTGCCTAATCCTATGTAATAAGTAATTATTTATGCTAGATACTTTTCTAACAACTTTTGTCAATTGCAATCTCAATCTCTATCCCTTATTTTCAATACTTCGTACCAAACGATACCTTAAGACCTAAAAGAGGAGGCCTTTTTAAAAGCCTACATTATAAGTAGGCCTTTAAAAAGGCTCAGGCCTTGTAAAAGCTCAAGCCTGAGTCTTAAAAAAAGCCTCCATTTAGGCTCAGGTTCAAGCCTAGGCTTTAAACCTCTAGCATAGGCTCAAGCCTATTTGACCAAAGCTTGGCCTGTTTCCATCCCTAGGCAACTTAGAGGCACGTCTTTTAAACTGCTCCAATGACAACCCTAGCTTCGAAATCTAGATAATGCTTACTGCTTTTGGGCTTCCCCTGGCAATAGTTTTCCGTTTAAGTATTTGGGCCTTAGGCCAACTGTGTACTTTCAATGGGCTTGATTTATTTGTTAGATTTTCAAACCAAAAAACAAAAAAAAAATTCTTTGTTAGATTTTGAAAATGGTTCAGTTTATGAGAAATAGACGAGTTTTTGTTTATGTAATATCTATTACATTAGTAATTAGTATTAGTAAGATAGATCTTCATAAAACTAATGGGCGTATAAACCGCTTGATAAGATCAAGAGGGAATCTAGAAAGATGGAGAAGTATTCTCTTTCATTTCGGTTTATATGTATATCAAGACTTTGATATGAATCTATTTATAGGCATCCAATTATTAAATATTAATACATAAATTGTATTGTACTTATACTAATACAATGATATATACACTAAAATCAAAGATAACAATGTATTTGGTATGCATAGATGCTCTAAGACTTAATGACTTGGATTCATAAATGACATATGAAATGACTCATAAAAGTAATAATTAGATTCTTCGGATTTGGAGAGATTGTGAACATTTATAAGGTATGATACTCATTCTTTTCATAAAAAAGACTGTGATAGAAAAACTAGTCAAAAAAGATACGAGAGATGTATGAAAATAATTCAGGTTAAAAATATTTTTTTGGGCCAAAATTCAGGTTAAAAATAGAAAAGATGCATATTAAATGTTTTAAATATTTTTATAATTAATACTTGTTTGTCAATTTTACTCTTATAATGAATGTTTAAATGTGAATCTTCATATTTTTCTTTCATATTTAATATAGATAAAGTTGATAATTTTTTTTTAATTTAAGACAAATTTAATGAGTTTCTTGTTATTTATTAATTCTAATTAATTAGTTAAAAGTGACTTATATTATAGACTTGGAATAATACCCTATAAACCTTTTGAAAAAAAAAACTCCAAAACCCAAAATGATTTTTTTCCACCAAAAACATCGAAAGCCAAAATAAGATCGAAAGTAGATCTTCTCCTTCTTCCCCCCCCCCCTCATTTTCTTCTCAAAATTTTGTCTCTATCCTTATATTAAAAAATGAAAGGTTCATATTTAATATTTTATAACATCATTATTATAATATTTTATAAATTAATTTTTTTTCATTTTTTAATATTGCAGTTATAAACTACGTATGTTTTTATTTTGTATTTTCTTTGGCCATTATATATGTCAAATTTTAACAGTTTAGTTCTATATATTTGTGCTTATAATAAAAATTTTCTAAAATATTATATTTAAACTATCCACTATTTTTATACAATATTTTGAAAAGAAAAAAAAATGAAAATGAAAAAGGAGAGATACTAGAACCAAAAAGATTTGCAGGGATTTACTCAAACTTGAACTTCAACAAATAAAATCAACAAGTGACTCAAATGACATATGATAAGTTATTTATGACCAACATAAAATTACAGCTCAAAAAAGCCCAACGAAGCAACCCAATAACAACACCATCCCGACCCTTTTGGTATTAAGTAGTAAGTGTGTGCGTGTGTGTATCTATATCCTACCTTCATAACCTTTATCCTGTGTTTGGATGGAGAGAAAATGGGGGAAGAAAGAAAATGAAAATGGGGAAGAAAGAAAATGAAAGAGGAAAATAGGAGAAGAAATGAGTTTTCCTCCGTTTGGATGAGGGGAGAGAAGTAAGAGGAAAGAAAAGTAGGGGAGAAAATAGGATGTGGGACCTACTTTATTTTCTCTCCAACTTTTCTCTCCACATATGGAGAGAAAATGAGAGGAAAACTCATATTCCCTATATGCCCTTCTCAAATATAATCCAATAATATCACATTCCACCTTTAATACAAGTTTTTCTTTTTAATTTTACTTATGACTACTTCATAATTCAACAAAATTATCTCATTATATTGTAGCCAAAATCAAAAGCTACACATGAACTCTATTCTTTCACATTCAATGAACAATGCAAGAAATTCGCACGAATTAATATATATATATATATATATATATATATAGATATGTATAACTTCTTCATCTCTTTCAACTTTATATTAAATTTTCACTAGTTATTAATAATCTTAAATAATAGGTAACTTATTTGTATCATTTCATTATGTTTGATTTTAAAAAAATTCTCCACTTTTTTTTTATTTTCACCTTTAAAAAGAATTTTTTTACTAAATTATTTGGTTTTTACAATATAATCACATGGTAATAAATTTTTATCAAATAATTTGATTTTAAATTATTTAATGATATTAACACTAATATGATTTTTTTTTATTATGATATTTAATTTAATTTGTAACATGATATATTTTGATACAAGAATAAAAGTATTTTAGTCCTTCACATATTTGCTCATTTTCTTTCCTTCATATTTTCCCTCGTGCATCCAAACATAAAGGAACATAACATTTTCTCTCCAATTTTCTCTTCTCTCCATTTTCTCTCCTTCTATTTTCTTTCCTCCCAACTTTTCTTTCCATCCAAACGGAGGCATAACATGAGCACCTCGGTAATTATCTAGTATAAAGAAGCACCGACACAACAAAATTATAATCAATTTTGCAGCTTCAAAACTTTAAACCTTTATGCCACCATTCATACATAAATATATATAGATACATATTACATTCTCAAGTATTAAGAATTGTCTTGCCTCACGCTATTTGGTGATGTGATCATAGAAGTCTAGGAAATTTCAGATTCAACATCATCAATCTAACTACCATTTGTCACTTCCAATTATGTTTTCAATGATTTAAACAGAACCCCAAGACTGTAACAAATTAATAGTCAAAATGAACTTAAATATTTTCTTTTCCCTTCTTTCATATCTCCCACGGTTCCTGTTAATAAACTTTTCCGCATGATAAGAATTTTAAATAATCTTGCAATATCAACACATCATTTCATTCTCCACACTTAAATTCCTCATATTCTATTATTCATATTCCCATTTCAGATTCATTAAATTAGTCTTTATCAGCTTTTGAATTTCAAAATCCGAATTCCACAGCCTCAACAAGCATCAATAATCTATATTCATACACACACAAGTATATGGAAATAAGTATATATATCAGATTATAGTTTCGAAAGTTACATCCAGCAATAACACTCAACATACCCAAAATAAATTCAGCCACCACAAGCTTGGTTTCATTATCTAGATATGATTTATGTGACTTAATTCATTGTTCTACATTTCCTTAAGTTAAACCCAATGACACACAAGTCAAGGCTGCAAGCAACAACAGTATCTTATTTAAAGAGGCCTCAATCTGCTGTTAGCTATATCAATCTCACTTGCATTTAAATATTCTTATTCTTTAATATCAATGACAGCACAACAAAGTCAAATCAGTTTCCAACATCCCATTTCCTCAAACAACAATAGTATAACACTTATTATTACTTAATTCATGTCATTAAATCCATTACTTCCATCCTTCAATTCGGCAATCATCACCCAGCCAAACACCCACTGGTTCATATATACACACACACACATTCTTATAACATATTTTTGAATCGTGCCCCTCTCATTTCATTTTTTTTTTTTTTAACCGAAGTTACATACACAGAAGAACACAGTCCATGTTTGGGCACTCTTCAGAATCAAGACGCAGCAGCATTTACCAGCCTACAATCTCATAATTATGTGTATTGCATCTACCCATCCAAATCCCATAGAGCTCGACGCCATATGCCAGAACAGGGCAGGGAGATTGAGTTTTGGAATCATCAAAAACAGAACCCAACAACACCTGCAACACTACAATTCACTTGTTCAAGCTTCTAACTACCTCTTCCTACCGTTAATCCCTTAGTCATTGACTTTGCCCCTTTTTCGTAGCCAGAACCGATCGCCCCATCCCACGAAAACCACCAAATCACAGAAGCCAAGGATGGGAAGAGACTGAAGGGACTTACCTTGATCAGAATCTGGTGTTGCATGCGCCTCTCCGATTACTTCTTCTTGTTCCTCGTTCTCCCTTTGGTTCCCCGCCTCTCACAAACCCTCTCAACTCTCTTTCTCTCTCTCTTCAGCGGGGCCGGCCAAAAGCAGAGTGGGGAGGAGGTGTTTGGGCTGATTAAAAAGAGGAGGGTGCCCTTCCGTCACATTTTACTTCTACTTTGATTCCTCCACAATAAAAAAATAATTTTAAAAATTAACTCTTAACATTTTATATAAATTTTATTCCTTCAGCAGCTTTTTTAACCCTCAAAATAATTTTTTCAAAAATTTTAGGTCAAAAATTAACACATCTGTCACACCTCTTTTTATATCCTATTATATGTTAATTGGAACAAATATAAGTTGTTTCATAATATTTCCGGATAAAAAATTTTAAATTTCAGAATTATACTATTTATCATATTTGTACATTATTCATCTGAGAATGAGCCAACTTTGAAAATTCATAACTAAATCTAAAAAAATCAAAATAATGTGGTTCCAATTTTCACGTGAACGTTGCTAAGAGTTCTATGGAGAAAAAATAATCATTAGGTCCAATCCCGTCTAGAATAATTCCAGGAAATTCGTCAAAGTCTACTGTTTATTTAGTAAGTTTTTAAATTTCCAGTATTTTTGCCCAACTTTGAACAGACATAACTCTTAGCACACAAGTCCAAATTTAATGAATTACCACTTGTTTTAAAGCTAAAAATGAGATCTTTTAGCCTGCAAAACGTCAGATCCAGACTCCAACAATTCCTTACTATTTTATGTGCCACAAGTTTGGCACTTTTTAGGAAATTTCTATCCCCTAATTATCACTTTCTTGATTTATTTCCTCTTTTTCCTTCATCCACATTCTTTCCACAATGCATCAAGCATAATTCCAACATTGAAACATGGAATAACAATATAATTTACATCAAAATATCATCCATAACTTATCATAAAGTCAACATAAAGTTTAGTATATTTGATAAAGGTTTCTGAAATAACATAATATTTATAAAGCCATTTCATCCCAAGGCCAACTCTTTCCCTTGCTCCATGCCTGGTCTACTTCCTAATTAGTGCATAAAATGACATAAGAGGAGTGAGATTTCAAAAAAAATCTTAGTAGTATATGAATTATAATTATCATGTAAATCAATACAAGTTTAATTGTGACATGTCATGCAATCCAAACCATTCCCAACTCATAGGAATTCATACTAAATATCATGCAATGAGAGGAGCATCATATTATCTACATTGACATACCACAAAAGTATTTAGCCAAAGCATAACCAATGTCAATCAAACAATCAAGGTCACCACAGAGTTCCTCAAATCCAAGCAACAATAATCATAACAAACAAGCAAGATAAACAATCAAATTATAATTCAAAGCTACCTTTTTATTGTCCAAATGATTACTCCAAAGAACAATGCTTCTCCTTAGTTCCTCCTCTCAATGCCTATGAAACTAAGTATAAACATAGGCCATATTAATCACAAAACAACTTGGTTCCAACACTTTAACATTAACTTAACAATTTCCCCTCTTTTCTTTGATTTTTAACAAAATGATTCGTTCTTTAAAATCAATCATCTCATGACTCAATTCTACACAATTTTTCATGAGGAATCCAATGGTGCAAGATTTTTGAAATTCACACTCTTTCCCCATTATCTTCACCTGGCTGAATAGGGGGCTATATATTTCTAAAATTTTCATTTTTTATTCTAATGATTTTAAACACTTTTCAACAATTTATCCCTATACAAAAACATGTTTTAAAGCCATTGGAATCATCAAATCAATGAAAAACAAACTCCTTCTCTATGAACAGTGTTGGACGAAATGAAGAACCAAAACCCTAACTTGGTTTTCTTCCAAAAATCAATCCATACACCACTTAATCTTCCTTATTCCACTTGATTATTAAAGTTTCTATCCTTCCCTAAGTATCACACATCTCCACCAAATTTTTTAGCATTTTCCAGTATTTTTCCAGCATTTTTCCAAGCAAAAATTCTAATCCAATCAATATAATACTTAGGGATAATGATGCTTAGACATACCTTAATGTTTTCTTGGTATTTGTTGGATGATTTCTTGTCTAATTCTAATTCCTCATTAAATTTTAAGGTGAAAAATGAATAATATGACATGGTAATAAGAAGTTTACTAGTAATTGAGAATATGTTATCAATTATGGATTTTATTTTTGGGATAATAAAACATGATATAGCTCTTCTAGAGCCTTATTTTTCATCTTTTACCTAATGGTAGAAACTTGTGCACTCATTGAGGGTTGACCACCATTGGCTCTTCTGGAGTCTTTTTCAAAAGGAATATGAGATATAAGGAATGACATTGATATTAATGATAACAAATTCCATCCAACATGATTTATACTTGTATTCCAACAATATTCCCCTCAAGTGTGAGTTGTATTAACATAATATTTTTATTTCTGTATTTCAAATAGAGTGAATAATATATAGTAAGTTAATGACATATCTTTAACTTGAAAATCCAAATGCTTCCTTATTCAGATATAATAATGGATTTCAATCCAATTAAGCTATCACTTTAAAACCCTTTGATAAACAAATATTCTAATATATATGTTTGTGGGTCATAATTTTCATTATCAATTCCTTTTCTGCCCAAAAAAAAGGGGAACTATATTAGTTATTCAAGAACTATTGATTTTGTTACCAATTCTTCACAAATTATATCAATCTTTTGTGATTAATTCTTTTAGAACTATATCAATTTTTTTATTATATACAGTTCTTTAGAAAATACTATATATAGTTCTTCAGGAACTAATATATATTATTATTTTACTATATGATATACTTTACTTCTTGTTATGTTTTTTCAAAATATGAAGTATTTTTTTCCAAAACATATATATTTTATTGATATTTCGTTATTTAAAAACTTTACTTCTTTATATATATATATATATATATTATGTAATGCTTCAAAACTTATTCATAAAATTTATAAGGACTAAAATCAAACTATATTGTTATGAAAATTTGAATCATAAACCTTCAGAGCTATTTATAAGTCATTAGTCTTCAAGACTCTATATAGTAAATAAATATTTTTTAAAGATCATTTGTGTCACTTAATATTTGAACCATAAGCCTTCAAGGCTTTAAAAACATAAGTTATTATTTTTATGTCATTCAATAACATGAGTGTAATGGCTACTGGCCATTTAGTAATAGGAAATTATAATATTAATAAATATCAAATTGAATGTCAAGAATATATGAGAATAAGATAAGAATAATATTTAAAATTTAAATTAATTAAATGTAAAATATTAAATGTAACATGAAATAAGGAGAAAAGGTAAACTCTAGTACTAACGCATCATTCACTACATAGTCATTAGTTTTCTGGGCTACTTTATTTATAATTCTAATTTTTATAATTTTTTTTATAAACAAACCATATAATGATCCTCTTCAAAATCAAAACTATACGGCTTTAAGCCATTTAATTAAAAAAAAAAAGAATTAAAGATACATGGCGTCTAGCTATTTAATTTCAAAATTAAAAAAAATCAAAGATATATGACTTCTGGCCATAAGATATAAATTGAGAGAATTGCAATTAGGTCCCACTCAAGGGAATTAAATACAAAAAGGTCCCCTGAAATCATGAAATTATCCTGAAGTCCCAAGGGACCTTTTTGCAATAAATTTTATTTTTTTAATTACTAAATTACCCTTCGTTTTTTTAAAAAAATTTGTATTGACAACTGAAAGAACAGTGGTTGACAACTCAGGGTGCAAGGATTGACAACTATCGCGGCTGGTTTGACAACACATTTTCTCAGCATATCACACCATAAGTTATCAAACCAACTGCGATAGTTGTCAATCCTTGCACCCTGAGTTGTCAACCATTGCTCTTTCAGTTGTCAATACAAACTAAAAAAAAAAAGGGTAATTTGGTAAGTGAATAAATAAAATTTAATGCAAAATTTTTTTTGGGACTTTAAAATAATTTCATGATTTCAAGGGACCTTTTTGTATTTAGTTTTCTTAAGTGGGACCTAATTGCCATTTTCCCATAGAAATTTAAAGTTATATAGCTTCTTGCCATTTAATAAATAACAAAAAATTAAAGATATATGACTTTTAGCCATAAGATTAAAAACTAAAGTTATATGGCTGCGAGCTATTTAATAAGATATATAGAAAAATTAAATATAAATATTCGGCTTCTGGTGATAAAATGAAAAATCCAAATTATATGACTTATAGCCATTTAATAAGATAATAAAAAAAATCAAATACATATGGCTTCTAGTCATAAGATAGAAAACCAAAATTATATAGCTACTAACTGTTTAATAAAATAAAGAAAAATTATATACACACACACATACATGTGGCTTCTGGCTATGGAAAATCCAAATTATATGGCTTCTAGCCATTTAATAAAAAAAATCAAATATATATAACTTCTAGCTATAAGATAAAAAGTCACACCTAAATGACTTTTAGTTATTTAGTAAGATTAAATATCGAATATATATGGCTTCAAGCCATTTAATAAAATAGAGAATTAAATATATATTTATATATATATGGCTTCTAGCTATAAGATAAAAAGTGAAAATTGTATGGCTTCTGGTCATTTAATCTCAATGAGATGAAAAATTAGAATTATATGACTTTTAGTAATTTAATTGACGGTAACTCTATAAGGATACTGCTAGTATTTATTAGAATTTTAAGTTCTATCAAAATATTGACGTTAAGTCAATGGGGAATAGAGGGGAGAAAAATCCCCTCATCACAATTAGTTCGGGAGGTATAATATCCATATCAAAATTAAATTGTAGTGCTAACAATGTAAAGTGAAATATCCAATCTTAGCCATGGAACCTAATGTATAAAACAACAGTAAAAGATTTTTTTCAATTCCATATAATGGTTGAGATTATCCTGGAAGATCGGTAACAGATACGAATACTTCGAAACACCACATATACAATATTTGAGATATTTTCATTTGAATAGAGGAAATGATATTTTAGGAGGGGAAAATCATAGAAGTGATACTCTAAAGTTAAGCCAAAGA